TTTATCAAGAGAAAAAAAGAAAGAGGAAGCTGTGAGGTATGAGATCAAATGACTTGCTCAAGGGCTCCAGGCTTGTCAAGAGTGGCCTTGGTTCCCCTGGAGACTTTCTGACATGTAATCCAGGGCTCTTTTTAACCACACTATTTAAGCCTTGTTGGTTCAAGCCATTACCTATTATTCTGAAGGAATATGCACGAGGATGAAACAGGGTGCTGAAAACAACAGTACTAAATAGAAAGAGGAGGGAGAGGACAGGAAAACACCTGGAATAGCTAAAAAGGACAAAATGTACTTGAGATTAAAAAACCAATTTAATCCAAGCTGTTCTTCCTCTGAGACCTCACCAGGCTTTTGCGGACACTGAGAGAGTTTCCATTGGCCTCTCTGGTTTCTAACTTGGGCATAGAGGCGATGTCATGATAAAATGAATATGTGAAAAGCATTTGGGGCATTTGTCATTGGTCCGTGAACAATTAAGGTGAGGAGAATTGGCCTCAGGTCATAGAAAGGAAAACCATTTTTTCTGCTCCCCTTTCTATAATCAGTTGTTGAGATTAAACTCTAAGTGCAGTTATCTTAGAACAATAAAAATTAGTTTATGTCTTGGAGTGAGAATTTATAAGATTATGTGTTATGGAGAATTGAGCAATTAGAGATTGAACATAACGTACACCCTGCCATTTATTGGGTGACCGAACTCCAGGTCTGTACTGCTTCCCAATTTGTTCTGAATTCTTCATCCCACCTGATCACTGCTGTCAATCTAGACTTGAGGGTACTAATTTCGATCTAATGTTCAAGCTGGTTTGAACAATCTCAGTTCTTTTTTGGTCACTCACTCACATATCCCCTCCCATTATTTCACACAAATGCCAGAGCAGAGAGCCTAGAATTTTGAGGAACGAGCAGTGGTAGATTGCAAAGGGGCAGCAGGAAAGCTGGAGGGTCAGGAGAGCCAGCGTTTCCCATGAGTCCACCAAGAGAAAAAGCATCAGATAGCATGGGATTGATGAAAAAGAAAATAGGTTCGTACTAATTCTTTTAAAAATGTCTAGCATTGTCAAAGATGACATTTTAATTAATTAATTTATTTATTTTTGAGACAGAGTTTCACTCTGTCACCTGGGCTGGAGTGCAGTGGCATCATCATAGCTCATTCCAACCTCCAACTCCCAGGCTTAAGCGATCCTCCTGCCTCAGCCTCCCAGGTAGCTGGGCCTACAGGAGCTTGCCACCACCCCCGGCTAATTTTTAAAATTTTTCTTGCATAGACGGGGTCTTGCTGTTGCCCAGGCTGGTTTCAAACTCCTGGCCTCAAGCAATCCTCCCATCTTGGCTTCCCAAAGTGCCAGGATTAGGTGTGAGCCACCATGCTTGGCCAAAGATACCATTTTAAATAATCATTATTGTTTCCAGAGCTCAAAATCCAAGGGCCCTTGTAGCATTTTAGGTGAGGTACAAGTAAAGACTCTGCTGCAGCAAGGCACAAAATGCAAATGTTCCATCACCCTGTAACTAAACCCAGTGAGCTGTAAATTCAAAGAGCAGGCATATTATTCTAGATGCTTCTATGCCTGCAATGTCTGGAAGGATAGAACTGGGCCAAGAATGAGGTGATAACCAAAATAAACAAAGGAAGACCTGATGTAATTACCTGGAGAAATTAGGAGACAGGACTGTAAAAATTACTTGGCTAGTTTAGACAAGCATAATTAGGCATTGGTGTCTTCATTTAATCATCCTTGTAGTCAATTTCATTTGATTGGACTACCTAGGGGGATATTAAAAATAAAACAAAAATTGAGAAATTTTAGTCATTTTGGAAAAGATTGCTTTTTATGAGACTCATGTGCTGCCTACTGTGCTAAAGAGGCAACTAAGATTACTTTTTATGACGACTGTATTGAAGGAGTGATTTGTTCAAGAGAATTCTAGATAGACACCTGAAAGATAGTTAAGGAAATAGAAATTTGGGTTGGTTGAATTCTGTTTTGGGGGTTCTATGGATGAGACTGGCTGTACCTGAATCATGCTATGGAATCTGACTTTTAACAACTAAAGACAGACCCACTGAGTTCTGGAGAATTTTACCTGGGTCCTTTCTTGTCATCCTTTCCTGGGCTTCTGATGCATGTGAAACAGAGTTGGCAACCATCTCATTAATATTCATACATTAGCTTTCAGGCTGGGCACGGTGGCTCACGGCTGTAATCCTAGCACTCTGGGAGGCTGAGACAGCCTTGAGCTCAGAAGTTGGAGACCAGCCTGAGCAAGAGCGAGACCCCGTCTCTACAAAAAATAGAAAAATTAGCCAGGCATGGTGGCATGTACCTATCATCCCAGCTACCTGGAAGGCTGAGGCAGGAG